GTGCAGCAGTGAGCCACACACCACCCAGGATGCTGAAGGAATACGTGCCAGACTGTCCAGACATCACACTGTTTGGCTTCAAAGCGGTGCTGTTGAATCTCGGTTGCTGGGTGTCACTTCAGTCTCACAGAGCAGCTTTGAGAGACTTGCAGATGCATTTTGATGGATGACGGTGTTGGTGTCTTTGCCCTTATATCTGTGTGGCAGGGGGTGACCTGGAACAGGGAGGGCAAGCAGAGAAGTTTCATCCTAAAAGACAGATGGAAAAACAAGCCTGTGTGCTGTTAGATTTATTCCTCAGGCTTTTTGTCTATTGGTTTCTCCTAGATCACCAGGGAAAACCCTGGTGTCTGCTCCTGCTCTGATAATGCTTAGATTTCTCCTGAGTAGAACTGGCAGGAAAAGTACACAGCTCCTGTCATTTTTTTATAGCTTGATACGTTATACTTGGCACGTGGATGGTTAAGGGAGAATTTGATAGTAATCTGCACCTATCTGAATGATATATGTACCAAGAAGGAAAAAGCGGTTGTTTCAGATAGAGGAAGAAGTGTAAGTAGGAAAAACTATAGAAAAGGCTGAATTTCACAGAATGCATCACGACAGTAACATCTGTTGGATTGCAAAGTAATCTCCTTTGAAAGTGGTGGGTTCAGCATCGCTTCTGACATTTGCAGCTCGGTGAGACAGAACCCAATTTGATCTGCAGCACATTTGGCTTCCAGGGAGGCCGTCCGTATGTTCCACTAGATCTTTTCCATCTCCAACTCCTGTGACTCTTTCTGCCTCCCCTGGGGTGATGAAATATCATTATAAACTTGAAATAGTATAGTGGTGCCTGGAGAGCAGGGAGTGATTTTCTCATTTGCAAGTGAGAGGCAGCGTGTTAAATTACCATTCCTGTCATTAAATGGGTCGAGTAAAAAGTTGGATGTGTTCAAAACAGGACATTTTCCCCCTCCCCAGACAAGCTGCCTGAAACCACCCCACATTGTGGGGGGGCTGGGAAGGTGAGGGTTAGAAGTTGAAATAATTTTAATCGTATTCCCTGAGGCGTAGGTTGGTGCAAGCTGCTTGACACCTGAAAACGTTTCAGTAAATCTGACAGGTTCCTGCTGATTTACAGAGGATGAGAAAGCCTGTGCCTCGTCTAGATCAGGAGGGATAAAACTTGTCCTTCTGCACCATCAAAGCTTCGACTTGTTAATTTGGCTGTGGGAAATGGAAGAAAATCCACGCTGCTGACAAACACAGTGGCTAAGTACAAAAGTAATTTCACTCAAGAATCACACTTTTGCATCTTTGGAGAATAAATGAGGAAGTTGTGGTGCTTCAACTGGTATTTTTTAATCGTATTCAGCAGTTGACACAGTTCTCAATAGCATTTGTTTCTGCCTCTTCGTGCCGTGCAAAAAATTGATAAACATCTAGGACTGCTGAGCCTTGTAGCTGACAACATTTGAAGCTGCAGACGTGGCGACGAATTGCGCTATGATATATTAATGTTATTTTGATCCCTGCTCCTTCAGAATTACATTGATCCAATTAGGTTAAGTAGCTTGCCATCTAAATTAATTTACTTTCCTCTATTAATCTCCTTTACTGTGGGTCAAAACCAGAAATGTGAATCAATCTCTTGCATTGCATACCTTTGGGGGGTGGGGAGGTAATTAAATTACCTAATAGATACATATGTTGAATTCATTGTTTGGTATGTTAAACACTATTGCCATAATTGGAAGGTGAAGCGGTGCACGCTCGGTTGTAAGATTTGAGTGGTTGTTACACTTGGTTTTCATACCCTTTCAAGAAATGCCTTTACATGACTTGCTGGCCCTGAGTACTAATGCTGCATGCTCATACACGGCTTTTAAGATATTAGACATTTTGAAAATGGGGTTAATGCCTTCTTTTTCTGCCAGAAATTGCTGGACTCCATGGTGATGTGTATTATAGACGTCCCCAGCCTCTCCAGTGTGGAGAAAACCCATCCTCTGCCTTGATCTCTAACCGGCACTACCACAGAATCACAAAATACAAGGAGTTGGAAGGGACCTGGAAAGCTCCCCCAGTGCAACCCCTGCCAGAGCAGGATCACCAGAGCAGTCACACAGGAACACGGCCAGGGCTTTGGGTGTCTCCACACAAGGAGACTCCACAACCTCTCTGGGCAGCCTGGGCCATGCTCCAGAACCCTCACACTCACAAACTTTGGCCTCATCTTCAGCTTGAACCTCCTGTGCTCCAGCTTGGGACCATTGCCCCTTGTCCTGGCATTGGCCATCCCAGAGCAGAGCCTGGCTCCTTCCTCCTGACACTGCCCTTTCCAAATTTATGAACATTAATGAGGTCGACAGGAAAGCAGATGTCTCAGTGATGATGTCTTAGTCACTGAACTGAAGGAGTGATAATGCAGACTCCTGAAAAAATCCTCTCATTTTCTTAAAAAGCTCCTTCAGTGGTACACAGAATTTCCATTATTTGAAATCCTACTTTAGCTTCTACGTTGGGACATACTTTTTCTTTTATTAGGTTAGTCCAATAGTGCGACTCCATCATCTCAGTGCTCCTGCCATTCTCTTACTGCTCACACTGGAAATTCTCATGTTCCGTTGGTGTTTTCATCAGGGTAGACAGCAATGCTGAAATGTGCCTGATAGGGAGATCGATGACCGCTACGCCAGGAATTTGTTTACCTGCTATTTTTCCTCACTTTAGTAAGTAGAAATGTCCATGAAAGACTCAAATTAAAATGAAGCATTGATGTGAGGGAATGAGATCCAGTGGCTGGAAACTGAAGGTTGACACAGTCAGGCTAGATATAAAGTGCAGTGTTTTACACTGAGCTTAATTAGCTGTTAAAAACTTGCCAGGCTTGTGATAGCTTCTTCATCATGAGAGATCTAGACAAGGTCTCTACAGTAAGTAAATGGATCTGTCTCCATCATGGTCATTGCCCCGAGGATTAATTCAAGTCAAATGACCGATGCAATGCGGCAGGTCAGATCGCTGTTCACAGCGCTCCCTTCTGGTCTGAACGTCTCTGAGTCTATGAGATATTTTCTAAATCTGTGCCTGAGGGTAGAACGAACAGAAGCAGAAAGGTCACCTTTGTCATCACTGCTGTCAAATACTTTGGAAATAGCAGAGCACAAAGCAAGTATATTGCTCCATCACTTTGCCCTTATGCTACATCTGTTACTCTATCCCCTGCCTGTATTTTGTCCCATTAAATAAAAATCATTCTGGTTTTCTGTATGAAATCCCATTTCCAAAAAAAAAAGCATAGCAGGACTCTGTTGGCTTCGACGGCGATGGGCTCTTCCCTTTTGCCTTTATAAAGGTAATGAATGCCGGCTAAGTGCAGAACTTAGCAGCGTTGTTATAGAAATAATAATGATAATTAAGAAAGCAGCTAGTTTTTATGATGAGAGAGTAGAAAACACAGATACAGCACACTTGGTTTCAGGCCAGCCTTCCAGAGCCTGCAGGCACAAAGGGCTTTGCTATCTTCATCTTTTTACATTACCACTTCCTCCTTCTTTTTCCTTCTTTTTATTGTTTTATTTCTTTCAACTTTTTTTTTTTTCTTGTACCCTTAAGGTCGAGGCTTTTAAAGAAGGGATTTCTCTCTAATTGGTGTTTGTACAGTGCCAACCAGGTCCTGATCGTGACTGAGCTGTTGGATGCTAATGTGGTGCAAATAAGTCAGTAATGAAAATTAGATGTTTGTTCATATTCTAGCTTTAATGTTTATATAAAAGTGCAAGAAATGTGTACCAAGACTGTGTACTAGTTCAGTTAGTGTATATACAAGAGTGCAGCATTAACCAGCTTTAAGTAAAAGAAAGGGCCTGGTTTGTTCAAGTGAACAACACAGGGGGGAAATGCTTCATTGTGAAACCTAAGATTTTCAATAGTCTGAACTCTGTTTTTTGGAAGGTGATGGTGGCATTTATCTCTGGTTTGTTCTATATTGTGCTTTGGCATTTCACTAGAGTGTTTGTCAAAACTGAAGCACGCTTGTGTTGAGGCCCATAGCTTAACACCTGTGCTAGGAGTAAATTGCATAGGTGTTCTTCCTTCTGTTGGGAATGCTTTTATATAAGGAGTTGAAAAACAGATCAACAGCAGGACTTTTTTGTTTAATAATTTAAAAAAAGCAGATGCTGCTTTCGTTATTCCATGAGTTTACTACGAAAAGAAAAGTTTTCACAGTTGTCACGTACGTGCTCCTCTCTGGAGATTGCCAGAAAACGGTAACTGCAAGTCAAAATTCATTGCCAAAGGCAGGCGGGGAAGTGTGGAGAGAATGAGAACAAAATGTCTCATCGCAGACGTGGTCTTCCATCGTCTCCTGATACATCATTTCAAGTTGTTAAATTTCCATTTGTGAATATCCTTTTCGGATGATCAGAATAAATCCAGTGCTGTAACTTCTGCAGTGTTTTCTCATAGCGTTTTTCCTTGAGTGTCAATGGAAGAAGTTTGTTTGATTTACTGAGAGCTAACCCAGTCTTTGGGTGGTCGCTTGCTGATGAATACAGCACATCATATAGCGAAATCAGTAACACAGGGAAAACATTTTCCTTTTCCACAAACCACCGTTGCTTAACAATACTCCAAACGTCTAGAATTGAGATTTAATGTAAAATGTGTTGAAAATTACATGGAGGATTCAATACTGAGATGCGCTGGCATGCAGTCCTCATTTGGAAGAGGGAACAATCTGGAAACTTGTAGTTTTTTCATGATTAATGAAGGAAAGTGTTCATGCACTGCAGCTTCAGCTATATTTTTATATATATATATTTTTCCTATTATTTATGTACATAAATATACATACATATATTAGATATATCTTTCCTTATTTCACACATAGCCCTGGTAGTCTCTGTATCATTAATGCTTGGCTTTGATTGCTGTCTCAAACAGAACCACTAAAGGACAAAGTCAAGGTGATGTGGCCTTAATATGACGTCTGCTCGGTTTTTTTCCAGGGGCCTGTTAGCCAGCAGCTTCACAGAGACACATTATCTGAAAGACGGCACTGATGTGGTTCTCGCTCGCAATTACACGGTAAGGTTGGCGTTTCGCGGGTAGATGATGCTTCATCATTACAACCCAAAGTGCTCTGTGCCGGGATCTGAGCCGGGGGATGAAACAGCTCCGTGTGTGATCTCTTTTTATTGTGGCCTTCAGTGCCTTTTTCACTGCTGTGATCCTACACGTGAGTTTTTAGAGGGAGACTTTAAAGGCAAGCTGTGGGGTTTTATCCAGGTGAATTTTCGAATCTGTTAGATTTACTCAGCTTCTTTGAAATACTGAAATTTTATCAGAAATGCAGCCATTGTTGATCAGTTATGGAGGAAAGTGCTGGTTCAGTTAGGAAGAAAGCCCTAAATATCTGGTTTCCATAGTGCAGAAGCTCCTATCAGAGGTTTTGAAGGCTTGGGCGTCTTTTGGCATTGGGGAAGCCATGGCTGGTGTCTGGGAGAGGGGCTTGGTTGGTTGGGTTTATTTTTTAAACCAGATCATAAGATTGTAATGGATATAGTTTATAAATATATATGTATGTGTGTATATGTATATTTATGTATGTGTATATATATAAAAAATACGGCTAATGTGATCCTCATTAAAATCAGAAGTTAAAAACTGCTTTTTATAAATAAAAACCGCTTTAAGGCAGTAATAATTCTGTCCTCTGACAGTATGAATGCCTTAATTAGGAACAATGCAGCAAGCGATTTTAATTACAAAGTTTATCAGCCTAAATACTATGAAGTTTTTGTTACGTTACGTTAGTTATTTATTGATGCTGTCAGAAGAGGCATCGTGCTTCGTGTTCCCATCCATGACGGGCTTTGCTGGTATCAGGGAAAGGCATTACTTCTCTGCATAGCATCTTACTTCTGAAAAAGTATCTTCATTATAGCCCCAGACTTCCCAAGTAAAGAAATAATTTTTAAAACTTCCAGTGTTTTCTTTTTTGCTGATATCTCCTTCAAAATCAGCTCGGTAGAAAACAGTCATTTCTTTTAGAAACAGGAGGGCTGTAGAGACTCCTAAAGGAAGTAAAAAGAAATGAAGCGCACAAGTCTTTGACAGATTAACCTGTGTTAACACGAATATAGTACAGCTAATGATAACTAGGCTTTCTCTTGCTAAAAAAAAGCCTGTTTTCAGAATGGCAGTAAGTCATGGTTAATACTGACAGTGCATTTTGCCTCCTCAAATATTTTTTGAGAGATCAGTGAATTCATTTCTTGTTAAGTGCAGCAATATGGTTTTCAGAAGATCAGTCTCTGTGATTTCGTTTTTATCTCTCTTCTGCGCTGAGGACATCAATATCATCTGTAGCTGAAACCAAATCCAATTTCCCATTGAGAAGTTGCTTAGTCAAGTTCTGCGTGGGGGTCGCCCAAGGCAGGTTTGTGGAGCTGCAGCGTGGGGAGTTTCTCCAGCATGCAAAGTAGCATCCAGGTTATTTTTCTGGTTTATAGCACCTGAAAAATTTGCAGTTTTCAAAAGCTGGTACTTGTTAAATGATCTCGAGTAAGGGTAGAGTGCAGTTTTAAGTGTGACAAATCAGCCATGGTAATTATTTGTTTTTAGAGGGTCATCCATTCCATATACTAGTTTACAGGAATGCAAAGATTTAATAGGAGAGGAAAAAAACCCTGCGGTAAAAGAGTTACTGAGCTAGAAATCAATTTTCTACCAATCCAATTGCCAGCCATGGTCTGGTAAGTTTACATTTTCAGTATTGAACTTTGGCATCATATAGCATGTGGATCTCAGAGAAGATGTGAAATGGGCCACAGCAAGGAGCTCAAAGTTAATAAAACTACAAGTTGTGAGTGGAGAGGGAAAGGAATCAGGATATTTGCCAAAATTGACTCTTTGATAGAGACAGCTGGGCTGCAGCCACCGTGTGGGACTGGGAACCAGTTTGCCCTCCCCGTTTCACTGGGGATGCTAAACCTTGCAAATTGGCTCTGCGCTGCACCTCTGCCTTATGCTTACTTTAAGTGACAAGAATAAACCTCCTTCATATTTTGGCTTTAAGCTGGTTCAGGGTCACTGTATCAGAGTCAGTGCGGAGGCGGGGGGGGTTGTTTTCCCTTCTGTCTTATCGACTCGATGCATGTAACTGATAATATTAAAATAAAGTGAAATAGTACACTCACGCTGAAAACTTTGACGCCCATAGCAATTGTGACTGAAGCAATCATACCCCAAAAATTCAGTCTATGACTTCCTCCCTTTTATTGTGGTTTTACCCTTGCTAATGTGTTGCTGACTCTTTATGAGTACTGTTGATAAAAATACCCGAGAGTAAAACACTGTTACCCTGTTTCTGCCTTTTCTTTCGCTGAGAAAAGCTATTGAAATTTATATTTAGGAAGTCAGATGTTGTGGTTCTGTGTTCAGTTGCTCATGTTGGAAAGACGAATGCTCTGAACAAATATTTTTCATGGTATAACCTTATTTGCAGAAAATTCATACCTGAATTATTCCATCTTGCCCAGCGTTTTCACGGCTGTTGCTTCCTTTAACAAAATCAAGGTGGTCTTTAGAAGTCTGCCGTGTGAGGCTCTGTAAGTGAAAGCCGTGCCCCAAAACTGAAAAGGTTAATTAATGCAGCTAGATGGATGTGAATGAAGCGAGTAATAAAAAGGCACAGTGAGATGACTGTCAGCTTGAAGCATGAGTGATAACTTCCCTTTGCACTAATAAGATGGGAACCTTTTCCAGCGGTGTTTTCGGTTTCCAGGTGGCATTCAAAGGCGCCACGAGACGAGAAACGCTGGACGTGACACAATCATTGCTTTCCAGCCAGTCACTTAATTGGGAACGTAATATAACCTTTAGTCAACAATAAAATTAACCTTGATTCCAGACAGATAGGTGTGTGCGCTCAAAGTATCTCTGTCGCGGGCGCTTTTTGCAAGCAGTGGGTTATTAAGGAAATACAATAACCTAGGCACAAAATGAAATTGGATTGTTGCCTCTCAAAATAGGAAACCCTCCTGTTCTTGGTTGTTCTTAATAACGTGCAGCCGCTCGGTTGGGTAATCCAATAAAAGGTTTCCTTTCCAACCTGTGTCCCTTCCCCTTCATTTGCTCTGGGATTTTTATTTTTCAAACTATAAGGTTGGGCTTGGCTTTTTTATACTTTCCTTTGTACATTGCTCCCTCCTATTGACAAGCACAGATATAAATCACAGAATCCCAGAACGTTAGGGATTGGAAGGGACCTCAAAAGCTCATCCAGTCCAATCCCCCTGCCGGAGCAGGAACACCCAGATGAGGTTACACAGGAAGGCGTCCAGGCGGGTTTTGAATGTCTGCAGAGAAGGAGACTCCACAACCTCTCTGGGCAGCCTGGGCCAGGGCTCTGTCACCCTCACTGAGAAGAAGTTTCTTCTCCAATTTCAGTGGAACCTCCTGTGTTCCAGTTTGTGTCCGTTACCCCTTGTCCTATCATTGTTTGTCACCGAGAAGAGCCTGGCTCCATCCTCGTGACACTCACCCCTTAAATATTTATAAACATGAATGAGGTGTCCCCTCAGTCTCCTCTTCTGCAAACTGAAGAGACCCAGCTCCCTCAGCCGCTCCTCATAAGGGAGATGCTCCACTCCCTTAATCATCTTTGTAGCCCTGCGCTGGACTCTCTCCAGCAGTTCCTGTCCTTCTTGAACTGAGGGGAAATTAACCTTAAATAAATATTTTTAAATAACCTTAAATAAAAATATGTGTCTATAGAAAGTAGTAAAATGTGTCAGCTGGTTCGGTCATCAGATTAATTTTATAAAATATTCTATATATAAGTAAAATAACACAGAAAAAGGTGGTCAGTCATGCAATTTAAACACAGTTGATCCACTTTTAAAGAAAACACTTTGAAAATATCCCTTTGAAATTAAGGGGACAGAAACCATGAGAAAACTAGAGCTAAAAGAGCATTTATGACTGCTGAGATGTCTTTGTTTTTTGCAATCAGGGTCACTGCTATTACCACGGCAATGTGCGAGGGTACCCCGACTCCTGGGTCAGCCTCAGTACCTGCTCTGGACTCAGGTGAGCCAATCTTTCATCCTAGGACCTGTTGAGTTCTTGGTTTGCCTTTTAATTAATTTATATGTTTTTCAAATGTTGGTACAATCTCTGCAAAAGCATTTTTCTGAGGAGAAAGAAGTAGAAAATGTAATTTTGGGGTTTTCCATGCCTTCCCTTCTCTCTTACTGCCCATCCTGGTCTCTACCCTTTCGCAGCAGCGCGGTGCTTGGCACATTTTTGGGCTGGCAGTGCCTGGTGTCCTCCAAGCTGTGTTACCAGCCATGGCAAGGCTGCTTTGCAGCTGCAAACTCGTGCATCGTCCAGCAGCCTCACCATTAGGAAAATTGCCTTTATAAATGTGGCTGTGGAGCTCAATAAATTGCATTTGTGGCAGGTACGATGCTCAGCATTAGGTTTTTAGCTACTTGCTAACAGTAGAGCAGCAGGTTCACGTTACTGAAAACCAAATCTCTTCTGAGTCTGAGAAAGGAACAGGCTGACAACATTTTAAATACACAATGGACGCAGTTCAGGAAACAATTATCCTCCTTACTTGGACAATCAGAGACTGGTATTTACTCACAGAGCTGTTCCAAATCACAGTAATTAACTGTAAATTGGCTCTAGTGTTCTCCCTGGAAAACCCAGTTTTCCTGTCAGATTTCCAGCAGTCTCAACCCTTTCTGGGTTTGTTTAATTTATCTACAAACAGCACGAGTAGCTGGAGTCTTTTTCCCTTGATACTGCATTTTGCGCAGTCATGGTATTATCAAGGTTTTTGTAGCGGAGCTGTGGGACAGACAGCAGCAGAAAGAGCGAGCAGTTTGTTACCAGGGCCCTCCTCCCTGTCTGAGGGACCCGTTTTCTGTAGTAATTGGAATTTCTGTGGCTCTTTCCCACAGGCAGAGGCGTTTTATGGATGCTTCGGTATGTATCTGGCATCTTCCACAAGTTTAATTAACTGCTTGCATGGGCCATGGCGGTCTGTGTTCTCGCAGTCTGTAAAAATATAATGCAGTGCTCTCGGTATTTTAAGGGATTGCATCGCTGCAAGGTCCGTAGTGAAAATATGCACTGTGTGGGACAGGGTCTGTACCGATGTCTGGTTCCAGAGCTACCTAAGAAATGAAGTACTCTCAAGAGAAATGACTCTTCTCTGCATTAAAATAATGTTCTTTCTTCTCTAATGTGCTCTTTTTACAATTGTTCAGCTCACTGAGTCGTCTCAGTTTTAGGTAGTCAGGTGTGTCAAGGCAACATATGCCGCCAGTGACATTTTTCTCTCATCTGGCACTGTCACAGATGAATCCCTGGAGTGCAAGCTGACAGTATGAGACTCCTTCCCCACAGGAAAAGTGTGGCAGCATCTATTTCAGTACAAGTTTTCATAAGTCTCCCTGCCAACGCGTGTTTTGCTCGAGCAGAAGAACAACTGAGGACGTATCTCAGTATCCGTCCATTTAGCTGCTGCATTCACTGCTGAGGTTGGTCAAGACAGTGTCCATGAGTGATAACAGTTTGTGATAAGGGTGCTTGTTGACTTAGTCCACAAAACTCGTTTCACATAGCCAATGGTGATCACTTCCAGTCATTACCAGTGCTTGATCTGAGCCAGTGATGTCTATTTGAAAGGCACCACCAGCTCCTTGAACCATCCAGACTCTCTCATTAAAACTGATTAGGGATAAAAGGCCGGATGGTGTGAAATCCCAAGTAGCTGCACTGAGATTCTAAGCATCTTCCAGAGTCAGGCCCACAGGTCACCATATACCTCTGCCACCAAAACATTACTGTGGCAATGCGTCCCTTGAGAATTTGGCTGGAAAGATCTAGTTGAGGATGTCCCCACTTGGTGCAGGGGCATTGGACTAGATGGCCTTTAAGGTCTCTTCCAACCTAAACCACTCTGTTATTCTATTATTTACTGCCTGTGATTCACCCTGAAGTAACATGAGAAATAGGAAAGTCCACAACTACTTCATGTCTTATTTTGCTGGCAACTTTACTGGTATTACGGCCTGAAGGCATAGTTATGAATGGGGATGGGGATGGGGATGGGGATGGGGATGGGGATGGGGATGGGATGGAATGGGATGTACTTGCTCACCAACTTTCTGGAATAGGGATTCTTGTTTTTCCATGGCTTGATAAAGACATAAGACATTGTATGGCCACGGAGCCCTGGGTAAGGACAGCCCCTGGGGCAGCTATTTCACTTGCAGCAGACGGTGAGAGGAAAGACTGGTCTTGTTCTCAGTCTGTTCCTGGCTTTGTGACAGCTTCTTAGTGAATTGGACAAATCTCTGTGTCTCGGTTTCTCCATCTGTGAAATTCATTTAATGATTCTTACCTACCTCACACAGCAGTTGCATGGGGCTAAGGTTTAAGTGCCTGAAAAACATCTAATGAAAAGGAAGTGCAAGCTGTTGGCTCACCGAAGTCTCAGAGCACAAATATCCTCCCACTCCTAGCAGACAGGCACCTTGGGCATTGTTCCAGGGGTGGGTAGGCAGGGACTAGTGTCTTTTCTCCCAGATTAGGAGAGTTCATTAAAAGATATGAAGCTGGTAACGAAGAATAGGTTCCGCATTTTAGCATGCTCTGAAGCCGGAGTGCTCAGCGGTAGTCAAAGCAGTGAAAAGGATCATAGGAATTACCGAGACAGAAAGAGAGGATAGAACAAAAACCCTCATTACCACTTTATAAATCCATAGCTCGCTCACATCTTGAATTCTGCATGCAGTTCTTGTTTTCCCCTCCCCATCCCCACCTCGGAAAAGGAAGCATTGTATCAGGAAGAGGTACAGAGAAGGGCAAAAATTATGATCAAAGGTATAGAAGAGCTTTTATCCAAGGAGAGAAAATAGACGAGGAATTGTCACTTTTGAAAGGAGATGAGGGAGAGAAGGGATATGGTGAAACGAGGTTGGATGTCATGCTGAAGAGGGGACAATTACTGAATATTTTTCATAACCCCAAAATTAGGAGGTATGAGATGAAACTTTAGAGCAAAGGAAAGTACTCTTGTATTCACTGCATAATGAAGCCGTGGAGCTCACTGCCACAGGTGGGTGTCAAGGTAAAAACTATCAGTAGCTTTAAAAAAGATGAGACAATTTGGGGAGGGGAGCTGGGGGAGCACTGTCAAACCCAAAGATGTCCCTGACACTCATGCTGTCAGAGCTGGGGGTACCAACTGGGATGTGCTTACTATTTTCAAATTATTTTAAATTATAATAATTAAACTAATTTAAAATTAATTCTTTTTAATACTTGCTATGTCAAATTATTTTTAATTTAATTATTTTATTATATCTTGCCCGTAAGTATCTGTGGCCAACCAGGGCCAGAGACAAGGTGCTGGGCTGGAGCAACCTTGCTGTGACCCACTGCAACGACCATGTCCTTACTTACAGTGCAGCCACAGGGCTGAGCATTTGAGATGTGTTATCAGCCTGTAAATATGCCATGATTGGCCTGTGATGAGCTGCAGGAAGAATCGAGTGTGAAATCTGCAAACTAAGACAGGTTTGACTGGTTTTACTTCATTTTGGGGCATATAAAGGTGGTGAGATAGGAAGATAAGTGAGGAGTTAGACTCGGCTCTCATACACAGGCACTCACATATTCCAGCTATGTTACGTCCTCTCAGACATAACATTCGAGTGCCTCGCTTCACGTAGGATCACAATGGCATAAATAGTTGGATTGACACTGATAGCTGCCTAAAATGCAGGTTAGAGGAGAATATAATCATGCCGAAATCTGTATCCTGCTGGCTTCTTGGGAGGAGGAAGAGCTGAACGGCAGAGAGGAGATGGTAAATGCTGAATGCACGAAATGGGAACAATGGGTAATCAGGATTTCCTGCGGTTTCATCTGGATAGAAAGCCAATTACACCGTCAAAGCTTGTGGGAAGGTGAAGGTGCGACAAAGTCGAGTCGTTTCCTTCCTGTCCTCAGGAAGTATCCTTCTGTTTATCTAGCTCGGAGGCTCTTCAAGTTTTTAGCAAATAATTTTGGCCTGTAGCCACCACACGCATCTTCTGTGATGAATTTGTATAGACTTGAGTGTTTTTTTCCCCTATTACTTTCTCTGCAAGTGCAGAACCCAGCAAATAGACACAAAAAGGCCTCCTGAAGAAGAGCACGGTCTCCATGGTCCAGGGGGATGCTGTCATTGCTCAACCTCATCAGTGACTGAAAGATGCTGTGTCCACAGTAACGGGGATGGGGGTAAGACCCCAAAACTGAACAAACAGTTGTTTTTAATGGGATTACAGAGCTATGCTTCACAAGGCTGCCGATACTCCAGCCATCCATTTTACAAGTGGTCTGGCTGAACTCGCTGCATCCCAGACAGGGTTGAAGAGGGGATTTAAATATGACACTCCAGACATCAACTATTTAAAAGGCGAATGGAAGTAGGAAACCAGTGAGAAAAAAATTTAAATTCCTCACAACTCCTCAAGCACGATTTTCCCACAGAAAGGGAGATTTCATCCAAAAAATAAGTTAGGAGCAAATCCCAGTTGAGAAGAGCAATGGTTTGGATGTGTGTTTTTGTTCCATGCTTCCTGAAGAGCTTTTAGTTCATATAAACATCTTGCATGGTTTGTAAGTTATCTGACCGTGAAACTACTAGAGGCTTTTGAGCTTAACGTTAGAAAGAATTTGGCTTCTGAGGTTTCATAGCTCTTGCATTCTGGCTGTTGTTGGAGTGGCAAACAGCTCCTGGATCACGATCACCTCTGTGATCGGAGGTGAGCATCATCTCCGTGCGTTGGCAACTTGTGTGCACTGTGATCCCCCGAGCATCCCTGCTACTGCCAGGACAAGCGCGAGAGATGATCCGTACCTGGCTGAGCCTGCCCCTTCTCCAGCAAGGCTGTGTCTGACAGCACTTAGTTCAAATAAACAAAACTAAAACTATTTTTATACATTTTGTGACTTGAAAAAGCATCCTGTGAGCCTTAATGTGATGTGCACGTTTGAATCAAGCCTTCTTTTATTGTCGCTGC